GAGCACAAAGCCTGTGTTGGATCCCTAGCACAGCATAATTGAGATGATGTAGCATGTTCCTTCTGTATAATCCCAGCATTCAGAAGAGAGAGGCAAGAGGATCAGGAATTAAAGGTCATTCTTAGCAGAGTTTGAGGTAGGTCTTGGTACATGAGAATCTATCTTTAAAAATTTTTTTTTTGGAACATTTATTAAAGTTTTCTGTAGTTTGAAAAATCCTAAAACTTTCATTTATTTATTTATTTATTGAGACAGGTTCTCATAGATAGGTTGGCCTTAAACTTACTTGTAGCAGAGGATGGCTTTGAATTTCTGACCCTCTTGCCATCACTCACTAATGATGGAATTATAGGAGTATGCCACTATGACCTTATTCATTTATTTATTTTAACTTATTTTTTATTTAGCTATGCATGGTGTCATACATCTTCAATCCCAGCATTCAGAAGGCAGAGGCTGGAGGATCTGTGTGAGTTCAAGCCTGGTCTAGTCTACATAGTTTGATGCTATCTCAAATAAACAAACAAAAAACCAAACCAAATATTTATTTTCCTTGTATGAGTGTGTTTTGTATAAAAAAGAAAATCTTTAGAAAAACAAAACCTCCCAAGAAAATCAAGACACAGGGAATGATCACTGTGGCTTGCTATTCATTCATTCATTCATTGAGATTGGGTCTCACTATGTTGTTATAACTGTCCTAGAACTCACTATGTAGACCAGGTTGGCATCAAATTCACAGAGCTCTGTCTGCCTCTGCCTCCAAGTGCTGGTTAAAGGGATCAAATGTGTGTGCCACCACACCTGGCTAACAATGTTTTGTTTTCTCAGAGAACTGTATTGATTTTTTTTTAACCTAGGTTTATTTTTGGCTATACTAGTTTATGCTATTATCATGAATTGCTAACATTTAAAAATGTCACTTGCATAGACAAAAAATAAAGGATAAATGTAAATACTTGGTTGTAGAGTAGGATCATACCTGTGGGTTAAACTGTTTTCCCCTTTTTATGTGTCGAAACTAGAATCTCAAGAGGAGGATGGAGACATAGAAGTTGAAGAGGCAGAAGGAGAAGAAAATGATAGGCCCTACAATTTGAGACAAAGAAAAACAGTGGATCGATACCAAGCACCACCGATAGGTAGGTGACTCTAAACAACTTCTTTGATTTTTATAACTGAGAGTAGCTTTATCACTGTTGTGAAAAAGAACATTTTCCTGGGTTCAGTGGTGTAGTGCTGTGTCCTTGCTGTTGAGGAGCTGAAGTTAAAGGATCACTTGAGTTCAGGTATTTGTTTTTGGCAAGACCCCTTTTAAAAACAAAACAACAATCAACAGTGCTAAATTTAAAATAATCAGACCTCTTGTACGTCCTGTGCATCCTTTCCCACATACTTCTGTGTGTCCATACAGCTGACAGCTAAGGTGCACAATGACTGATTTATTATTTGTCTTTCCTCTCACTCATTCCTTTGGCTACTATTTTCTAGTTTCTGTGTGTCTAGATTTGCCTGTATGTTTTATTTTGTGTTTTATCTTGTTGCCAGGAATTAAATGTAGGGTTTTGTGCATTCTCTGCAAGTGCTTTACCATGTGACAGCCTTTGTTTCTGATACTTTATTTACCCTTCTTTCATTTAGTATAATTTTTTTTTCAAAAATCCTAATTTAGAATTAAAAAAAATTATTTTGATCAGACATGGTGACATAATCCTTTAATCCCAGCACTCAAGAGGCAGAGGCATGTGAATCTCTGTAAGTTTGAAATTAGCCTGGTTTACATAGAGAGTTCTAGGGTAGCTAGGACTATGCAGAGAGAACCTGTTTCAAAAAAAAATTTGTTTTATGTACATGGGTGTTTTGCCTGCAAGTGTACATACATGTATGCCTGTGCATCTTGTATGCCTGGTACCCACATGGGCCAGTAGAGGACTTTAGATTCCCTGGAGTTGGCGTTACAAATAGTTATGACCTGCCATCTGAGTGTTGGGACTCAAACTTGAGTCCTCTGGAAGAGCAGCTAGTGCTTTTAACCACTGATCTACCTCCCAACCCCTTATGCAGAATTTTGTACTCTAAAATAGTGTTTGGTAGAGTTATGCTAATCATCTCTAGAAGCTCTTAAAGTGTTCAGACATCCCTCTATTCTTGTTAAGAGTCATTGTTTCAGTTGTTACCAATGAGAGTGTGTTTTCTGGTAAAAAAAGATTGGGAATCATTATTCTGATTTTTTGCTTTGTTTTCTGATTTTCTTAATGTAATTGAAATAATGTCTATAGCATGTATTTGTATTCTACAATTTGGCAAGTTCTGTACTATGTACATGCCTGTGAAGCTATCACCATAATCAAGACAACAAGCATAGTCATCAGTGCCCATCCTCCTAGATTTCCTCATTCCTGTGTGTATTCTGCTCTCAGTCATTTGTGTCTCCCTTGTATTAGTCTTTGAGTACTTATCTAATCTGTTTTCTGTCACCTTAATTCAACTTTATATGTTTTTGATTTTATATAAATGAAATTATAAGTGTTTGCTTATTTTCATTTTAATTTTTTTGAAATAGTCTTGTTCTTGTCCTAGATTTTTCTGGAATTTGCTGTATAGCTTAGGTTGACCTCAGACTTGTAGTGATCATCCTTCCCCAGTCTCCCAAGTGGTAGAATTATAATAGGTACAAGCCACCATACCCAGCTTTGAAATACTAAAAGATTACATTTTTACCTTTATTTCACTCAGTGTTATTATTGTAATACTTATTATAGGTGTGAGTCATCACAGCTGTCTTATTATTCATTTTTTAGGGATTAATTCTTGCTTTTGGTTATTGATTGTTATAAATGCAGGTGTGGTGGAGTATCTTTAATATCAGTAGTCAAGTCTGGGGCAGAAGAAGGATTTAGATTTTGAGACCAGTAGGGATACATAAGAGCCTGAGATAAAAACAAACAAACAAACAAAAAACAAGGATAAACAGGCAAATACTAAGAAGTGTGATGGGTAGATTTATGATTAGTGAATTAGCAATTAATAAATTAATATATTTAATTTTGTAAGAAATTGCTCATTTTCCAAAGTGATTGTGGCATTTTCATTCCGATTTTATGTTTCCAACCAGGGCTACATAGAGATATTCTTACTCCTCACTAAAGATAAAGAGAATTTGTTTTTCTAGCATAACTCTTGGTGACACATAACCTTTAATTCAAGTATTAGGAGGCAGAGGCAGTTTGATAACTATGGATTTGTGGCCAGCCTGGTCTACAGAGCTAGTTCCGGGACTGGCAGGGCTATTACACAGAGACACTCTGCCTCGAAAAACAATAACAACAACAACAAAAATTGATACTTGCCAATGCTGTTATGACTAGTCTAATTAATGTGGCTCTTTGTGTGTGTTTTGGTGGTACAGAGGGCTTTGTGCACTCTCCAAAAGCATTCTAGCACTGAGATAGATCCTATTCCCTATTCCTTTTTTTTTTTTTTTTTTTTTGCCCCCACTCCCTAAGGTCTTACTAAGCAAGGTCTCACTAAGTTGCAAGGCTGACCTTGAATTTGAACTCTTCTGTTTCCCAAGTGCCTGGGATCATAGGCAAGACCCAGCTGTAATAGCGTATGTAGTATAGTTTTAGTTTGTGTCTGTGTAATGAAGTTGAGCATTTTCTTCTCATGTTTATTCAACAGTGGCAAGTATTTGTGTGTATGCATGTACATTAGGTAGGTGTATATGCATGTGTGCGTAAGTATCAACATCAGTATCTTCATCAATCACTGCACTAGTTAGTTACTTTTCTGCTGTTGTGGTAAGAACCAAGACTAAAAGCAACTTAGGAAAGAAAAAAATTTAATTGGGCTTCCAGAGGGAGAATCCATAATGGTGGGGGAGGCATGGTGGCAGACAGCTGGAAGCTGAGAGAACGCATCTTTTTTGGGGGTGGGGAGGGTTTCAAGACAAGGTTTCCCTGTATATCTTTTGACTGACCTTGAACTCAGAGATTCTCCTGCCTCTGCCTCCTGAGTGCTGTGCATGAGCGACCATCACACCTGGCTGAGAGATCACATCTTAAATCACATGGTAAAAGCAGAAAGTGAGCTGCGAGTGAGGTAAAGCTATAGACTCTCAGAGTCCACTCCTAGTGACATATATCCTCCATCAAGGCTCCATAGCCTCTCCAGACAGCCTTACCTACTGGTATTCTATTATCTGAGCCTATGGCAGCCATTCTTGTTCCATGCCCTGTTCCCATAGGCCCATGAAATGCATTTAGTCTAACTTTAAGACTCATTGCTGAGATTCCATGTAAAATACAAAACAAATTACATACTTCCAATAGAGTTTGTTTGTTTGTTTGTTTGTTTCCGAGACAGGGTTTTTCATTACCTTTAGAACCTGTCCTGGAACTCACTCTGTAAACCAGACTGGCCTCGAACTCACAGATATCTGGCTGTCTCTGTCTCTCGAGTGCTGGGATTAAAAGTGTGTACCACCACTTGCCTGGTTCATACTTTCAATGTGTAATGGCATGGAATATACCTTCCCATCCCAAAAGAGAGAAATGGGGACATCATGAGTGATTACTGGACCAAAGCAAGATAGAGACCCAGTAGGGTAAATATTAAATCCTATAGCTCCATGTCTTTTATCTGTCACTTTAGTTTTAAAGGACTTGGATGGCTCTCCCCTTCCACTTTCTCTGTCCACCACCTACATCTCTCTCTTGGCCGGGTTCCACTCCTGTATACAATTCTCATGAGGCAGACGTCTCATGACTTAGCATCTCCAACATCTTGGAGTTTCCACTGCAACCCAGGTTTCACTTTCACGCTTTACATAATAGATTCTCAGGACCTTGTAGGGACAGTGATTTAGCATTATCACATGATGCGTGGTCTCAGTGACTGTCTGGAACTGCAGAGGAAGAATCTACAACACGTTTACTCTTGCTTTTTTTTTTTTTTGAAAGAGTGCTGGTAAAGTTTTATTACAGGAAAATTTTCCTGGTTTACTTTTCACCAGTCTGGTCTTGCATGCTTCTAATAGTATCAGAATCACCTGGGTCACTCGTAGCCAGTGTGCTTATTCTGTAGTATTTTCTGCATGTTGAGACCAATTGAATATTATTGCCATTGTAATGATAGACACTAGTTTTAGCTAACACAGTATAGTATTCTATTTCAGATTTCCTCAAAGCTGGGCAGTTGGCGAGGATAACCAATTTCACTTTGCCCTGTCTGATCATCTTTAGAGCTTGTTTGTTTCTTAGCACATTCTTTTCACTTTTCATAACAAAATGGAGCCTAGAGTCGATTGACTTTTTCGTCTTTGTGGATCTTCCTGCCTTAGGTACAGGACAGTCCCCAACCAAGATCAACCACCAAGATGGCCAGGGAGTGAGAAAGTCACTCTTACATTTTTAATGCCTCCAGAGCTAGTACCATGTGGGTGATACTGCCAAATTTGGCTTCCATCTTAGGCTAGATTCTTATCCCCTTCAACCACATTAGTAGCAGCTTTCCTGTTCTGAAATGGTTGTTTTCCAGAAAGGAGCAACCCCTTAGCCTTTTTCCTATCACAAATCAGAAACTTGGCTGCGCTTTTAGTTATTTTTCTTTTGCTATGATAAAGCACCAAGACCAAAGCAATTTATCCAAGTGTTTAATTGGGTTTACTGGACCAGAGGGTTAGAGTGATTGAGTGGTGGTAGCAGGAGACTGGAGCACCTACCTCTTGAATCACAAGCATATATAGAGAGCATATCACTTAATCACTTCCTAAACATTGACCAACTGGGGACCAAGTAGACATCTCACTCAGATATCACAGATGGGGAGGGCCCTGCCCTCAAGGTACCTTTTCATTGTTCCAGTGCAGAGTGGTCCTCCCCTTAAAGATGCCAGGCTCTTTAACAATTGTAATCTCTCTTTCAGTATATGACTTGGATGTAGTATTAAGCTTCTTGGTGCTCTTTTTCTTCCAAACTATACATTTAGTATTTCTTCCTGTCCTACTTTCTTTTTCTATCAGTTACCATAACACTGAGTCAATCCTATACTGTCCTTAACTTTTCTCCACCACAGAAATGAGTTTATTACTTTTAAATTTATTGCCAAACAAGTCCTTGGGACATTAGCAGAAGGCAGCCAGATTCTTTACAAAATGCACATGAATGACTTCTAGCCCAGTTGCTAGGAAGATCTTCTCTGAAACCTCTTGAGCCAGGCCTCTACAGTTTGCATTGCTGTCAGCATATGGACAACATCACTGTCATCCACGCTCCATCTAGAATGGCCCATTAAGCTCTGGTTACAACATTTAGTGGTTTTTCTAGCTCTGAGTCACACAACCTTCTACAGCCTTTCAAAACCAACATGGTCAGGTTCTCATAGCAACAACCCCATTTTTCCCAGAACCAGCTTCTGTATTAGTTAGTTTTGTGTTGCTGTGATAAAATACTAATGAAGGTATGTGGTTTTAGAGGCATAGGCTTGGTGGCAGTCAACTGAGGTCCACTGCCCAACTAGTCTAATAGGACTAAAGAGCTCCAAGTTCAATGAGAAATTCTGTATCAAAATAGAGGATAGAGAATGGAAGAGAATGACCCTCAGTGCTCAGTGTCAGCCTCTGGCATTCATGGCAGAGCACATCACCACACATGCAGTGCTCTCTCTGTGTGTCTCTCCCTCTCCATGACTGCTAAGGTTCATGCTTAAAGTCCATGGCTAAGGTATTTCCATTACCGTGGTTTGCTAAGGTTCATGCTTAAAGTCCATGGCTAAGGTATTTCCATTACCATGGTTTGCTAAGGTTCATGCTTAAAGTCCATGGCTAAGGTATTTCCATTACCATGGTTTATGAAGTGCCAGGCTCTTGTAGCTGATTGTAGTGTTGTAAATTGGGCCTTGAGTCCATCTTGTTGTGCTTGGGCAGGTTTCTATGGTAAGTCCACACACACTAGCCAGCAGAGTTGGTCTGTAGGGATTCTGCCTGGTAAGAGTTTTACTGTGGCTAACCTGGTCCTGCGTTATAGGTCCTGTGTTTCCTTTTATTTCTTTCCTCCAAGAGGACTGTATCCCTGTTTGTGGTCTGCTGTTAGGAGATGGGGGTGGTGTGAGGCAGGCAGTGCAAACCTTTTCTTCCTACCCCTTTCTAATGCATTTTTTGATATTATTCTGTAACCAAGTACTGTGTGTGATTCACAACCTGGTTTCTTAGTTCTTGTGAAGGTTGGAGGTTTTTTTTTTGTTGTTGTTGTTGTTGTTTTGTTTTTCAAGACAGGGCTTCTCTGTGTAACAGCTCTGGCTGTCTTCAGACTTGCGTTGTAGACCAGGCTGGCCTCAATTGATAGACATCTGCTTGGCTCTGCCTCTTGAGTGCTGGAATTAAAAGAGTGTGCCACCATGCCTGGTATTTGTATGCATGAAGGTTTGTTTGTTTATGCTTTTGTGGGAGATTATTACTATGGGTAGTATTACTTTGCTTTGTTCCCTACTAGAAAATTTTTAAAACGGATTACACTTTTAGAAATATTAACATTTACTTAGAGTGTTTAACACAAAGTCTTTGTCTTTGTTATGCTTCCAGACAAAAGTGTGGAAGTTGAAGATTCATGGCTGGGTTCTCATAGAAAGTTGCCAGAGTCTTTTTATGATCCTTTAGTGCATGGGCTTAGTAGTATTATTAGTTATTTCTACCTGTTTTCTTCTTTTAGTACCAGCTCATCAAAAAAAGAGGGAAAACACACTGTTTGATATTCATAGGTCCCCAGCAAGAAGAAGCCATATCAGGTAAGTTGTGTTTGATTTGAAAGAAGAGAATGTTTGCATCTGTTGATGAGCAAAGGAGAGACTTAATTGTATCTTTTCCTTCTTCCCTTCCTTCTTGACTGTCTTCTGTCCTTTCTGTCACATGACTTGTTTTTGGTTCACAGTTTATTTGTAATTTTTTTTTTTTCCTTGACAGGGTTTCACTGTAGCTTTGGAGCCTGTCCTGGAACTTGTTTTGTAGACCAGGATGGCCTCAAACTCACAGAGACCCACCTGTCTCTGTCTCCCGAATACTGGGATTAATGGGTGTGTACCACCACTGCCCGGCATATTTTTAAATTTAATTTTTAATTAATTTTAACTTTCATGTCCTATAGCAACAAAGTTTTTGATCTCATATGAGTTGAATGTAAAATGGTTCATGATGTCTTTGAGACGGTGACTAGTTTGTTTTTTTTTTTTCCATTGAGAAAACTAGTTTTGCTTTGTTTCCCAGATTTGCCTGAAGCTTCTAGCTCAAGTGATTCTCTTGCCTCAACTCCCTACTAGTTCGGAAGACACATAACTTGTACCAACCATACTTGGGTAGTAGGTCTTTAATGCTTCCCCCTTTTTATTCTTAAAAAAAAACCCAAAACTAGTAGGTACAGAGTTTAGAAATTTATAAATGTATCATTTTACTTTTATTTATTAAATTTTAGAGACAATTCCTTTTTCTTTTCATTTTTTAAGTAATGGATTTTCATTACAACATCTTTCTTTTTTTAATGTGCATCAGTATTTTGCTATGGTGTTGGGCCCCCTGGAACTGGAGTTATATACAGTTGTGAGCTGCCATGTGGGTACTGGGAATTGAACCCAGGTCCTCTTGAAGAGCAGTCAGTGCTCTTAACTGCTGAGCCATCTCTCCAGCTTGAAACAGTTCCTTTCTATATTTTCCTGGCTGTGAGTTTGTGGCAACCATCTTGCTTCTTCCATAATGCCTATTTATTGATTGGACTATTATATAGTCTTTTTGTGTTTAATGTTTTGATTTTTTTAAACATATTCTGGATAATAATCCCCTATTTGATAAGTTGTTGGCAAATATTTTCTCTTCAGGCTGTCTCTTTACTCTGATAGTTGTTTCCTTTGTGATGTAGAAGCATTATATATGTATGTATGTATTTGAAACAAGGTTGCACCATAGAGCTCAGGCTGGCCTAGAACTTTCCCCATCTCTCATGTGTGGGCATGACTAGGCATATACCACTATACCCAGCCAGAAGGTTTTAAGTCTGATTCACTTTCATGTTTGTGTCTGCGTCTTGAAGTATACAATTTAAAAGAATGAAGAATTTCATTTGGTTATGATAAATTCAGTTTGGACATGTGGAAGGGATCCAGTGTGGTAAACTTTTGGTTTTTTAAGACAGGGTTTCTTGGTAGCTTTGGAGCCGGTCCTGGAACTAGCTCTTGTAGACCAGGTTGGCCTCGAATTCAGAGATCTTCCTGCCTCTGCCTCCTGAGTGCTGGGATTAAAGGTGTGCGCCACCACCACCCGGCTTTGTAGTAAACTTTTAAAATTATTTTAGTTTTTAGACCAGTTATGTAATAATTTTTTTCTTTTGTTTTTTGAGACAAGATTTCTCTATATAGGCCTGATTATTCTGAAACTTTCTTTGTAGACCAGGCTGGCCTTGAACTCAGAGAGATCAGACTATCTCTGTGCCTCCCAAATGTTGGGATGAAAATATATGCCGAAATGCCTGACCATATTCATAATAATTTAACTTGATTATTTCTTCTTTGAAATGACTTTAGTCTAATATGTTGTCTAGTCTTTCCTTAATATACTTATGATTATAAACTATTTGTTTTATTCAGTTATTTTAGAATTTTTTTTTTTTTGAGACAGGAATTCTTGGTATAACAGTCCTATCTGTCCTTTTGTAGACTAGGCTGGCCTCAAGCTCACAGAGACCACCTCCCTCTTCCTCCCTAGTTAGTGTTGGGATTAAAGGTGTGCGTCACCACCGCCAGGTTAGATAATTAATATTTTATTATCTTATGTATGAGTATTTTACCTGCATGTATGCTTGGTGCCTCTGGAGGCCTGAAGAGGTCATTGGATCCCTTCGACCTGAAGTTACAGATAGCTGTGAGCCACTATGTGATTATTGGGAGCTGAATCTGGATCCTCTAGATGAGCAGCCTGTAATCCTAACTGCTGAGCTGTATCTCCAACCCTATTTACTTATTTTGAGATAGGATCTTATTATGTTGTCCAGGCTGGTCTCTTGGCTCAAGAGATTCTCTTACTTCATGTTTTCCCCAAATACTTAGGACTTAGAGATGTACCATCATGCCTGGCTAAGTATTTTCTTTTTCATTAAAAGTATTTTATTTATTTGGTAAGACTGCAAACAGGTAGAAGAGTCTTTAGTAGAAAGTAAAAGCCTTTATTTTTCTTTAAACAAGTATATTTATTTTTTAAAATGATTGAATTATTTCTGATAATTTGAGAAAGGAAGAATAAAGAAGATAAATGTCTTGTTCTCTAATTTTGATCCTTATAACAATACAGATATTCTCTAAATAAGAATGTAAGTTTGTTGCTTGACTACTTTTTTAAGCTTCTATATTTGAAAAATTACAGGTGTTCTGTTCTGTAGTTTTTATTCTTTTCTGTGGAGTTTGGCCTTCATTCCTTTTGAGATGTGAACTGCATGAAGACAGTGATCTGAATAAGCATTTGCTGAATGAATAAGTGGATTTTTCTTCTGTGCTAATTACAGATATGATAGTATTGTGTTTTGTTATGCTACCATTACGCTAGGTCTTAGCTCAGTGGTGGGTGGAGTAGGTACTCTTTATTTATAAGGCCTTGGGGTTAAAAGCACTACAACCAAAGCAAACAAGCACACACACGAAACAAAAGACACAGAAGTTATAAGGTTTTAATACTTTTCCTTTTCCAATAGGAGGAAGAAGCATGCCATTCATAGTAGTGATACAACCTCTTCTGATGAAGAACGCTTTGAAAGAAGGAAATCAAAAAGTATGGCAAGAGCAAGAAACAGGTTAGTAAATATTTTTAGTGCTGCCTCTATAGTAGAAGAGAAAAAAAGTTTTTCTTTTGAAAAATGTTTCTCTGGGTGTGGTGACACATTCTTTTAATTCCAGCACTCAGTTGGCAGAGACAAGCAGATTTCTATGAGTTTGAGACTAGCCTGGTCTACAAAGCAAGTTCTGGGACAGCCAGGACTGTTACAGAAAGAAACACTATCTCAAAAAATAAAACAAACAAGCGAACAAAAGTTTCTTATTTATAATGGCATTTTGTTAATGCTAATTATCATTCACTTGTGAATTCATTTACTTATTGTTTTCTTTAAGACAGGGTTTCTCAATGTAGTCTTAGTGTTAAATATATGTTTAAATATGTAATTATGTGTGTGTTTGTGTATTTACTTAGCTATTTTCTGAGTCATTTCTGATCTTCTAACATTTGTGCTCCTGGAATTGAACTCAGGTCAGCAGGCTTGGTG